GTAAAGCAATAGGGTGTCTGCAAGGAAACTCTAATCCTGCAGGACAGCAGTTCAAGTGGGCCTGGCACTGCAGCAGTAGACTCCAAGGGATATCAAAACATACCCCCCTAGGGATTGTTTTTTCTTTTAAGTATTTTGGGACATATATTTTTACATAGCTGCACTGTCCAGCATCTACAATAACCCAGGCTACCCTGCTTAGTAGGAATCAGAACTGGCACTTAATGACTGTATCTTGTAGTCTAGCTGTTGGAGGAAAAATAAGAGCTAATCCTTACATCCTTGGCTGCTTTTGGATCTGATACACAGGCAAAGGTGATGTCACAGGTGGAAACAACTTCAGCAGGGGTTCTTCCCAGCCGTGCCCCCTCCTGGATGAACAAATCACACTGCAAAAGTCACAAATCCAAACATAAGAAAAATTAAATACAGAGCAAATGGGTTCTCTAGCATTTTGCTGAAAGAAACTCTGCTGCTGGACCCAACTCAGAAAGAGTCAGGCGTATTAATTACACAGCAACTGGAATGTCTTCTGTTGGTTTGTCCACACACATACACAAGGGGCCCTCTTGCAGCTTTTCTGAGACCCTAAGTGAAGAACATCAGAAGACACAGGAAAAGAGAATGCTTCGGTGGAATAAGAGATTGACTGTTGTGGGTTTGGGAAGAGACAGGAGGGAAAAGCAGTAAATAAATCAATAAAAACAGCAAAAGGTGTTACTGGACAGTAAACAGGAATGTGCACAGCCGAGATTGATGTGTTTTAGTGGGCTGCTGCTTTAAAATCTTAGCTGTATCTTACCCTATCCCCTCATAGCATCCATGTTTTGCAGTTAAACAAAAATATTTTAATCCCTTTTAGCAAAGCAACCACAGTGGCCTTCTTGCCTTTGATATTCTACAATAACATCTGAGTACCACGTATCCCTCAGTTACCTATTTTTCCTCCTCCACAACGAAGTAATAATGCTGGCTAGAAACTAAGTGCAATATAAGCTCCATTTTCACTTTGAATACACCTATAAAACCCTTCTCATCCTGGTCCAATGACACAGCAAGTTTTCAACAGGATCTTTGTTACCACAACACAAACAACACAATGGATATGTAGATGAAGCTGTGGTCAAGCAGTACACCTCACCACACTGTTCCCGGGATCAACTTCCCAGGACTTGGTCTTTTTGTCCAGCTCCATGACACAACTTGGCTATTTAAATGTGCACTACTGCCAGAGGCACTTAACATTGCATTCCTCAACATATATACAAGGTTGTAATTTTTCTGCTAACTCTCTCATCTCATACAAAATGGCCATGGGGTGGGGACTGTTCACATAATAGTGATCATATTAGGACAAACTATAGCTTCAGCTAGGAAATCATAAAGTATCAAGGTGGCAAGTGTATACTTGTGTTTCTTTGTCATCCTCTCCCACCCATGACCAATTGGTGACTCCAGGCCTCCCTGAGCTAGAGGTGGTAACTATGTGTTTAGAAAAGGGTAAGGGTCATCTGTACCTTAAACACATGCCTACCTTCTCAGCAGTCCTGTTCCAGACAGTGACAGTGTGACCCATCTTCAGTAAGTTGGAGACAATGCCACTTCCCATCAAGCCAAGTCCCAGAAATCCTATCCTGAGGGGAGGAGATAAACATTAATGCAACGGAAAGCAATTGGTGTCAGCATCTCATGGCCAGGGAAATGATGAAGAGCAAACCCTGGAGCATCACTGGCAAAAAGAAGAAAAAAAATATCCCAAAACCAAACGTGTTCCACTGTGGCCATGCTAGAATGGGCAGATGCTGAGCTTTAAAAAACGCCAGCTTTTAAAGCAAGCTGGTATTTATTTAGCATACCAAGCATCCCTAACAATTTCCTGAAGAAAGTTTTTCATCTGCTTCAGAATAGTACCTAAATATCAAAGGTCTGGGTGGGCTGGGTTTGTTTGGTTGGGTTTTGTTTAGTTTTATTAAAATTGCTGCTCTTGTGCTTTCTGTTGTCAACCATTACCTTATTGAATATAAAAGGAACATTTAGAGATCAGCAGGTGCTTCTCTAATTTACCTTCTGACTTTTAAACTAAGTCACATGTACAATGACTTGCTTATACTATTAAATGATACATTACAATCTTTATTTTAATAATGCCCAACAAGGACTACTAAGCATTATGCACAGACCAAAGATCCACTCCCAGCCCTGCAGCTGTGATTTTGGACAGACGCAGAAACAGAGGCAGTACAGGTCACCATGAGCAACAACAACACAACAGTCCCAGACAGTAGCCGCCTTCCCCCATGCCTTCCCTGCCCTGACCAAGGCTGGCAAAAGTTTTGCACCCTATCTTCAAGAAAAAGGCAACACACTAGCAGGTTTCATCCCTATAGTTACCTGCAACAGGAATTCCTTTGCAGTCACTGCTGCAAGGATCCTGTTATACATCATGCAGCCAGTTTCATATCAAACCACAACACTAGTACGAGATTCTGAAAAGTTCAGTTACACGCCTGATGTAACCTCACAACGAAATCTGCCTGGCAATTCCCAAGTTAATTCTTTAGAATTAGCCACGCTACAGATGTGCTGTGGCTTTTGCAAGCCACCTGCACTCTCCCAGCTAGCCACGCTACCTTTTGTTAGAGCAAACAAATTTAGACAGGTCAGAGCAAGTCGCTACAGGCTCCCTAAACAGCCCAAACAAGGTCCACCTATTTTCAAGTCTCTAAAACAGAGGAGATACTCTTCCTCTCCCAGCCCACCTCTGAGCAACATTTTCCTGAGAGACTGTTTTACCTGAACAGCTTCATTGTTATTTTGGTTCCCCTGGAGTACAGATGAGAACTGACATCCCACGAGAACAACCCCCACGGCAAACAGCGAGTTGTGGCCTGAACTCAGTTTGAACAGAGCGGAAGTTACAGAGTGAAACAGGAAGCTCAAGTTAGGCTTCTCTCACTCTAGAAAGGAGAAGGGGGACGTTAGAAGAAACCAGAAAGCTCACATGCTATGCAGCAAAGCTCTTGTGCTGGAAGAACACGTGTCCCATGCTCAGGAGAGTGATTAAATAACCCTAGTCAACTGCCAGGCACTACTGGAGAAAGATATCCTTTTATCTTTCTGCTTCATACAGCATTCAGAAGTACTGCTGATTAACATGCTGCAGTGTGCCCTACAGGAAAATGGCAACTACAGAAAAGCCCTAAACTGCAAATGTATGCAGGCCAGACTGCTGAATTTTTCTACTGTACCATCCCTGTTTGTTTTTAGCTGCCTCCCTCCCCCTCTGCTCCCCAAATCAGAGCTTCACACAAGGACAGAGGAGATCTGTAGTTAGAGGAAAATGTTAGGTTTATTTATTCTCAGTGACAAGCTGGATAAAGGCTGCATGTATGAGCTGGGAAGGAGAGAAAGGTAAAATGGCTGAAGTACACTGGAGATCTTACTTTTTGTCTGTAGGCGTGATACTGCCATTGACTGCGGTGCTGTCTGCTGCCTGGATGGAGGTGGATCCTGTTTCCTGGGGGGGGTGGGGGAAAGAGGAAAAAAAAAAAATAGAGTGCACAGTTCTGGAGGAACTGCAAGTCCTCATGACAATAAGGAAAACCCATCAAAACCAAGATTTGCCTTACCTCTTCACAAACCTTCAGCTTCTTTGTGATGGCTTGATAGCAGACAGCTGGCTGTGTGGGGAAGACAAAGCATTCAGGGGAAGGACAGTGCCGATTTGCTCTCCTGAGCAAACAGACAATATCCTTATTACACACAAACAGGCAGCTCCCCCACCCACCACCATCTGCAAAGCAGGAAAACTCAAACTCTGTGGGAAAAAAATAAACCAAAAAAGCCTACTGCAACATACTAAGCTCTTCCTTTCCCACTCTGCCTCAGAAATTCAGCCTGTCTTCTGACACAGGTACTGCAAACTCCTTTCTGCAGTTCATGACAAGGAAGGCAAGGATCCAGGACATCCCTACTCTTACATTTGGCCCAAAGAAAACAGAGATCTCTAGAGCCTATGGAGCATCTTGCCTCATATCTATGCTCAGTCCATCAATGCAGCTGTGGAAGCCAAAACTTATTGTTAATATGAGAAGGCACATGGTTTTCAACAAATGTTAAGATGAAGGCTGCTCCTTCTCATGCTGCTTATGGTGAGCTTGGCACGATTAAAATTGTTAGCTGCTCTTAATCCTTCAACTCTGCCCTGATCCTCAGCTAGATATAAATCCTTTTTCATTTAATTTGATCTTTCCTTTTCCTCCTTATGTTCACTGCTGACGATAAAATCCTGCAAGACGTCTGCCTCTCAGGAGATAAACTGGCTACATTTTACATGAGCTTTTCTGGTCCTGGAAATTCTCCTGCCATATTCAGCTAATTGACAAGTTCATCCAGATGAAGGAACTGGTAGGATAACCAAAGACAATAAAACAGGGTTTTTAAACAGAAACCAGCTTTTCCTACCCCTCAATGTTGAGCCTACAGAATTTACTACAACAGATCTGTCAAATTCTGATGTGCTAGATAATCCTTAATTACTTAAACTATTCACTGTACTCAATGCCAAATCATTCTAAACCTTAAAGTTAGGAATTAATTGAACTACAAGATTGCACGTGAGACTCTAATTGCCACTAACCCCCAAAGAACAGAAATTCAGAGCTCTTTACGCATACTCCTTGTACTTAGTCCCAGCAAAGGGCAGGATGCCAAGCTAGACAGACCAGATCCTGTCTGCCAAATCCTCACCTTCTCTGTCTGGCTCAGCAGTAAGTGATGAAAATGTGGATCACTGTCCTTCACAGGCTATAAAGAGAGAAAGTACAGGCTCAGAATCATTCCCAGGGTCACTGAACAACCACAGCACAATTCCCTTGTTCTCTCAAGCTGCATGAGAACAATAGCTTAAAGTGAAAAACATAAAATGTATATCATCACAGAATCATTTAGGTTGGGAAAGACCTTTAAGATCATAGAGTCAAACTGTTACCCTAGCACTGCCAAGTCCATCACTGAACCACATCCATAAGTGCCACATCTACACATCTTTCAAATACCTTCAGGGATGCTGACTCCATCACTTCCCTGGGCAGCCTGTCCCAGTGCTTGACAACCCTTTCTGTGAATAAAATTCTTCTACTATCCAATCTAAACCTCCCCTGGCACAACCTGAGGCCATTTCCTCTCATCCTATCACTTGTTACTTGGGAGAAGAGATCAACACCCACCTCACTACAACCTCCTTTCAGGTAGTTGTAGAGAGCAATAAGGTCTCCCCTCAGTCTCTTCTTCTCCAGGCTAAACAACCCCAGTTCCCTCAGCTGCTCCTCACAAGACCTGGGCTCCAGACCTTTCACCAGCTTTGTTGCCCTTCTCTGGACACATTCCAGCACCATAATGTCTTTCTTGTAGTGAGGGGCTCAAAACTGAACACAGTAGTTGAGGTGCAGCCTCACCAGTGCCAAGTACAGAGGGAGGATCACTGCCTTAGTCCTGCTGGCCACACTATTGCTGACACAAGCCAGGATGCTGTTGGCCATCTTGGTCATCTGGGCACATTGCTGGCTCACACTCAGTTGGCTGTCAACCAACATCTCCAGGTCTTTTTCCACCAAGCAGCTTTCCAGCCACTCTTCCCCAAGCCTGCAGCATTGCAAGGGGTTACTGTGACCCAAGTGCAGGACCTGGCACTTGGCTTTACTGAACCTCATACAGTTGTCCTCAGCACATCAATCCAGTCACTCCATATCTCTCTGCAGAGCCTCCCTAACCACAAGCAGATCAACATTCCCACCCAACTTGGTGTCATCTGCAAACTTACTGATGGTGCACCCGATTCCCGCATCCAGACCACCGACAGATATTAACAGAACTGGCCCCAATACTGAGCCCTGGGGAATACCACTTGTGACCAGCTGCCAACTTGGTTTAACTCCATTCACCACCACTCTTTGGGCCCAGCCATCCAGCCGGCTCTTTACCCAAAGAGTACACTCATCCAAGCCACGAGCAGCCAGTTTCTCCAGAATGCTGTGGGAAATGGTGTCTAAGGTACAAGTAAACAACACAGCTTTTCCTTCATCAACCAAGCAGGTCACCTTGTCATAGAAGGAGATAAGATCAGTCAAGCAGGACCTGCTTTCATAAACCCATGCTGACCGGGCCTGATCATCTGGTGGTCCTGCATGTGCTGTGTAATGGCACTCAAGATGATCTGCTGCTGGCATGACCATGACCTTCCCTGGCACTGAGGTCAGACTGACAGGTCTGTAGTTCCTCAGATCCTCCTTCCAGCTCTTCTTGTAGATGGGCATCACATTTGCCAACCTCCAGCCAACTGGGACCTCTCCAGTCAATCAGGACTGCTGATAAACGATAAGTAACTTGGTGAGCCCTTCTGCCAGCTCCCTCCATACCTTTGGGTGGATCCCATCTGGCCCCATAAACTTTTGTGTGTTTAAGTGGTGTAGCAGGCCACTCACGCCTTGAATTATGGGGGTTTATTCTGCTCCCCATCCCATTCTCCCATCTCAGAGGGCTGAGTAACTGCAGAACAACTGGTCTATTAAAGACTGAGGCAAAGGCAGCAATAAGTACCTCAGCCTTCTCATCCTTTATCACTACATTTTCCCCTGCATCCAATAAAGGATGGAGATATTCCTTACTCCTAAATAGGGGGTAAAATGTATCATCTGCATCAAGCAGCCTGTTGCAATTCAGCAGTTCACATTGCGTTTCATTCACAAAACCAAAGCCATTCAAGTCAAATTCCTCATCTGTAGGAAAACCAATGAAGATTATAAACAAGATTAACATAGGAGGAAGAGACATCATATCCCACTTCTCTCTCTTCCCAAGGGAATGAAAACACTTATTTTCCAGCTACCAAGGAACTCCTTAAAACAGTATTCTGGGAACCAGAGAAAAAAAAAAACCAGAACAATTACTTTACTTCATCTGAAACCAGTCCTCTTTCAAAAACCTCACAGGAAAGTTTTTCATTTCCACTCACTCTAAATGGGATGTTTTGGAATCAGCACCAATAGACTCAGCACTGCTGAAAGCTGGCAGACTTGGCAGTACACAAGCCTCTGCACCTCTCTTCCAGTGAGTGATCTCAGTGTGTTTTAACATTAATTACAGTCCAAAAGACCATCCTGAAGCACAGCAGTATTAACAGAGATTACACCTAGCACTGTCACATGCTAGGCAAACCCATTACAACAGCAACAAGGACTGCAGGCCCAGGTATCTCACCTCCCTGATGAGCACCATGAGCGCTAGCCCACAGTCACACTGCTCTCACTCTGCCTTACTGATCACTTACTTATGCACAAAAAGAAAACATTTCCAAAAGCTGATTATGAGAGAAATCAAATGAAACCACCTCATACAACAGCATCCAGACAGGGAGAGACTATCCACATAATCTCTTCCAATTTTGGCAAGCCAGTCCCAGAAATACTTTTGAAACAAGTGCAAAAATGAGTGCAGCAAGTTAAGTGTGAATCTGCAAATGGTTTCAAAGAGACCAAGATCTCACTTCCCAGCATACTTCTTAATTGCCCAGGATATTGTATAGCTTTGTTACACTACAGAATGACAGAACAAGAGCATCTTATTTTGTTCCTACAAAAGGAAGAGAAGATCTTGCTCTTTTACAGCCCAGACAAAAAGTTCTAGATTTGCTTCCACAAATTCAGTTCCTAGGTCCCATATATTGTAAAGTTTCTCACCTCACTGACACTTGGCGGCCATTTAAACCCAGCCACTGTTCCAGTCATCACTCTCTTCACTGTACTTGACTCTGGAATTGTGAGGTCCTGAGGAGACAGAAGGAGGATCAGAAAGAGCTTACAACCTGGCTCAGTGGCTGACCACAGCACGTTGATCATATGAGCACACATACAAAGATTTGAGAAGCACTACAAATGCCTTCTGTTTCACATGCTTTTCCATGAAGAGCTCATATTTAAACACACAGCATATTACCAACACAGGTGAGGTGAAAAAAACATGAACTGCCAAGAAAGGAATTTAACCACAGTTATGGCTTCTGGAAAATCCATTCTTCATATGTAAAAGGAGTCACTGCACTTGTGTAACCATGCAATGAGCAGAGAAGCAAACAAACACGCTCGATCCGCATTCTTCTCTAGTGGATGCAAAAAGTTAACATCATCATGACAGTCAGAGATCTGAACTCTTCTAATTCTCCACTGTCATAAAAAAAGTAGACTACCTGTTAACAGGAGAGCCTTCAAAGCATGAGGCTGACAGTCACATTTGCTCAGTTTGCAGACTCCATGAGACAGAAACTGGTATGTGGACTGCCCCGTTCACTCAAGAGGCTCCGATTTGTAATGTCATTATATAATGCATGGTTTGTTGGGTTTTTTTCTGTTGAGCATATTAAAGTTTTTCTTAATTCCCCAATATATATAGGTTAAAATCGGTCTACAGGTTATACATATATGCTACAGACATGTCTTTATGCTATATGAAGAGAATGTGCAGAACACGTGTTATGTTCCTGAAATAAGGGTTCAGAAATGGAACCACATTACCTCCCCTCCAAAACTACTTCCTGAAAACGCACAATATACCTTAGTGTCCGTGCAGAACCACAAGACAAGAGCACGGTTTGCAAAAATGTAAGAGCAAGACTCTTGGAGGCAACCTGGATTGATGCAACTGTTTCACCTGTTAGCAGGGACAATTTGCAAAAACATCAGTCTCCAACCTTAAAGGGAAAGCCTTGCACACTAAAATTCTCTCCTTAGAGACCACGCTACTGTTTCAACTAATGAAGCGTGGATGAAACCTGCTCTGATACTTATGAAGTCATGTTGGTCCTTAGAAAATACTCATGTAAGCTTAATAATGAAAGTATCTGAATGATCATGTATGCCTACAGAGCATTCCCAGATAGAGCACAACTCAGTGACAACTGGATCCTTGAATTCTGTGCATCCTTATCACTTGGAAAGCCAGAATTTAGACTGTGATAAGACAAAAACCTCAAATCGCAAAATGGCAGTAATACAGTATACCAACATAAATGTTTTCTACCCTAGGGCTAAGAACTTGGGGAAATTATGAGAAACAGTCAAGAAGATTACAAGATTTTAAAATTGTTTCACAGGCTATAAAATGGTATTAAGGCAGTACTGTTACATTTTCATGGCAATTTCTTTAATTCTCAGTATATTACTTTCCAGAACCTATAAGGCTACTTTCCTACATTAGCCTGCTTATTTCTGTGGTCTGTGGCCAGACACCTCACATAGCTGACCACTTCTTTGTGATAAGCTGCTTAAAACCACTCTGCTTGCAATTTGCCAGTAAAATAATTTCTGCTACCACAATTAACTCATCCAAAGCTTTCTAATGTCCCAAGGTAGCTAATACAGTAAAACCTAAGCATGCAGTGTGTCAGCACAATGAGAATTCTCTCAGCCACTAGTTTTGATCAGTTTTGGAAAGAATCTAGCTCAAAGACACAAAAGCACTTTGCAAGTGGAAAAAGAGGCCCCATGGCTTATTGTAACAGAAATATGCAGAGATGTAACATGCTCATGGCAAGACACTTTGAAAGGTGAAAGTATGTTGCTGGTACAGTGTTTTCCTGCATCAGTGAAGTCATAGGTTCTGTAGTTATTAGTAAGAATTCACAAATATGCATCCATTCCTCCCCTCCTCCAACTCCCTCCAAAAATGGAAACTGATGGGCTCTGCTGTACCGCCTGATTCAGCAGAAGCTGGCTCTAAAAAAAAAAAAAGCCAGTATTTCCTTCATAGCTAATATGTGAGATGATCAGCTTCGTTTCACTACATCAACAAAGAGTCTGCTGTTCAACCAGTGAAGGCAAATCCATTCACAATTTTGGAGATCAAAGACTGGCATCTTGACTCGCATCCTGGAGTACACTGAAAGCAAAGATTGTGAAGCACAGCATAAGGTGATCCTTCTGAAGCAGAGGTGACCAAGCAGGCTGCTGCATGGTGTATCAGCTGAAGTCTCCCAATGATCTTCAGGTGTAGTCTCCGATAGAGCATGTGCATTGTAATAATCCTCTGAAATAATTATCCATTTGGAAAAGAAAGATCTGGACCGCAACAATGAGTTCCACAATAAATAAAATGTCTGGAACTCTAGATGAAGGTAGACAAAGTACTGGTGGCTATCCTTGCTGCCACAACATCCAGAAGTAACAAGGAAGTAATGGGGACACAGTAATAATGCTCCAAGGTTGGACTTCTATAGTGGAGGATGGAGATATATCCTACAGCATAGAAGCTGAAATAAACACAATTAATTCTTCTGGAGGATTCCCCAGGCTAGAAGAGTTTCTTCTTAAGGCCCTAGCCCTTAAGAACATCCACCCTCTGAGAGTACTGAGGGTAAAGGTGAGTGACTACTAATCACTTAATCATACAAAGTAGATGAGATGGGAGAAGTCAGGAATCAGATGAAGACTCATCTCTTCACTAATTCTTCCCACAGAAAACCAAACTTGAGAGATGGCAAGATGAAAGGCGGAGTCTCATGATACAGCTCTCAAAGCCCTCTCAAAGATATGAACAGAGCTACTTAAAATAACTAACTGGTAAAAATTACAGGAAGAATCAACAACATGCTTGCCAAAGGTATCAGGCAGCCAAATGGTCTAGAAGTAGTAACATGGAACAGCTTAAAAAAACCTGATACTGAACTGACTCTTCCTGCTGGCCTGCTAGTCAAGGTGCCAGTCAACCCTAGAGTCCATCTGCAAAGTCCACAGGGCACTGGCGGACATGCACAACACAAACCTTCTCATCCTTGGGTGGACGCCCCCGCTTTCGGGGGCTCTGATCCTGGGCTCTTTTCAAAGGTGATTTTGATCCTCTCTCTGACGATACAGAAGAGACCCTCTTTTTTCCTTCCCCTGTGCCCTTCTTCGACTTCCCTTCAGACAAACTGGCCTTGCGTTTCTCTTCACCAGCGGATTGCTTGCCTCTTTCTTCACTGGAATTACGCCGATTCTTCTCTTCATTGGAGTTATGGGAAGACGCCTGAGAGATTACAGAATAGAAGATGGTAAGGAAAGAAGAGAAGAGCTGGAATGATTTTCATGCAAAACCAAGGATGTGAAGGATCCTGTGCTGATTACTATCAAGCAAAACAACAGCACAATAACTTGAAAACTAGATATGTTAGCCCTTTGGAGTCGGAGAGTGAAGTTCCTGGTTAGTTCTCCTGCAAAAACACATCAGATCAAGCAAGCAAGCAACAGAACAGACCACTTGAAGACTTGCTGGGAGTGCGTGCACTTCCAATATAACAGAGACAAGATTAGTAGATATCAAATTCTAGCCCAAGACTTAAGACTGATTTATCAAACCACTGTAAGATCAGTTAGCCTCTTCAGTTTCTCCATCAGTTTTAACACCACCTTTTTCCCACCACACAAGACTGAATGGGGAAGAGAGAATAGGGAAAAAAACCCTCACCAAAGGAATGAAAACAAACACCCCTCTCAACTTGCCAGGGGGAACAAACTCCTCTCACACAAAAATGCATCTGACCATCATTCATGCCAAGGTTTGTTTTGATGCACACAAAAAAGAACCCGCTCACCTGGTCCTTGCCTTTGGTTTTTCTAAGGAACTCCTCTACAGCATCCACAGCTTGCTGGAAGCGCTTACCCTTGTTAATCTTTATCATTTCCTCTTTGTGAGGGTGATAAGGCTTCAGCTGCTCCACTTTGATCCAAGCACTAGAAACCAAAAGGAAAATGTTAGTTATGTTCTCCAAACAGCAACTTCCTCAAGCACCCTGCTTTTAGAAACACACAGATACACTTTATTTTTTTCTCCAGAGCAACTGCTAATACCAGCCCAAAGTCACTTGCTTTCTACAACCTGAAGGGCTATGATTTCTGCATTCACCGAGACCTTTCTTCTGGTACTTCCACTTAGTTTCTCTCTCAAGTTTCATATCGTCTCACGCCAGCAGTGCTCCACTTGAAACGTTATTCATATTCTCTACCAGCAAGACAGTTTTTGGATGTGATCATAGGTACTCGTGTAGAACAAAGGCAGACTAGTGACCACTCTTGTATCACTGGGAGAAACACCCACGATCACATGCCTCCACATAAGGTTGCCAATAATATGAATCTGCTCAAGAGGTTGTTGAAAGTGGAGGCCCCGTAACAATTTTAAGACATCAATCCATTGTTCAAGCACACTGTGCACACAAAAGAGTCTGCAAGAACTGGAGGAAAAAAAAACAAAATTGCATATCACAGAATAGAGCTAATCACAAATAAAGTTAGCGCAAATGCCACAGCTCATTACCAAACATATTTCTGATGTACCCAGATATTCTGCACAAAACCAACATTTTCAATTCTGTGAAAAAAATAATCATTTTCTTCACTGTTGATATTTTAAGATAAACTGGCACAGTAGCAGAGTATTAACCTGACTGCAGTCCTGAGAGAATACTCAAGTGACTTCCCTGTTTCCACTGCTGCTGAATAGGATTTCTTGTCATTTACCAAATGGTTAAGTGGTCAAGATCGGCATGACAACTCCACTTCCCTTCAGTTTGACAAGCTCTTCTACCACTCCCTTCACTGCAGCTTGGGGGAATGCCTTTGCTTTCAACATTCCTTGTTGCTCTAGTAGAGACTAGACTGTCTTCCTGTGTCCTCAGATTCAAGCCCACGCTTATCATCCACACTGTTACAAAATTCTTGCCATCCTACTGAGAACAGACCTGTGTAAGTTTTAGAAGAGCCTCCCCTGAGCTAGGATGGCAAACGGCACTTCCTAGCATACTGCAGTCCAACACACAGTAAAAACCAGTCAAACTGATCTTCTCTGGTCCCAAAACATCTCCATGTTACAAACAGTGACTAGCCATGATTACAGGTATTAACTATTCTCCAGTGGGGTCTAGCTTCTGAATGCAAGTAAAGTGCTTTAATAGCTGCCTCTTCAGACACTATGCATCCTGTCACAGAGTTAAACTGAACATAAAGGTGAAAATAACAATAATAATATGAATGCTTTGCTGGATCTTGCTTGTCCTCTTTTCACAAAGTAGTAAAGCCCAGTAAACTGTCAAGACTTCATAGAGATCCTTCACTGGCATTAGCCACTGTCTGTAGTCACAGATCAACTTGCTTAAAGCAGACTGAAATTTTTTGGGTTACACTTGGAGAAATGAGGCCTCCTGCTAGAACTGACCGGAAAAAGTGCGAGGATCCTTGTTACAGTGTCGGTATAGTCTACATCATTACTCCACTATAGCCTGGACGCAGAACCCAGTACTCTTTTGCACCCAAAACTGAATTATTTTGCTTAGTTTACATCATCTTCATAATAACTGACTTAACATAATGTGACAAGTGAAATTATTACTTTCAGACTCAAGCCTGTCATCCAGAAGCTATTCAGAGAATCCATTCTAGGTGCCCAGACATTATCATGAAACATATCTTAAAATTCTCTTGTACTGCAAAGCTCTTCTGTGTGGCACTCAGTGACAAAGTGTCCTGAGGTACTTAATAACATCAACTCATGAGAAGCCTTTCCATTATGTATATAAAGCAAGCAAAGTTTTGGAGTACATTATAAGCATTGGAACAGGCTGCCCAGGGAGGTCGCTGAGCTGCCATCCCTGAAGGTATTTAAAAGATGAGTAGATGTGCTTAGGGACATGGTCCAGTAGCAGACTTAGTAGGGCTGGATTGATGGCTGGACTAAGTAATCTTAAAGGTCTTTTCCAACCGAAACCATTCTATGATTCTACAACAAAGTACATTAAATGTTGTTGCTAAATTTTCATGAAATCACAGAATCATGAAGGTTGGAAGAAACCTTTAAAATCATAGAGTCGAACTGTTAACCTACCACCACCATGCCCACTAATCCACATCTGGAGGTGCCACATCTACACGTATTTTGAACACCTCCAGGGATGGTGACTCCATCACTTCCCTGGGCAGCCTGTTCCACTCTTTCAGTAAAAAAAGTGTTCCTAATATCCAATCTAAACCTCCCCTGGCACAATTTAAGGTCATTTCCTCTCGTCCTATCGCTTGTTACCTGGGAGAAGAGACCAACACCCATCTCGCTACTGCCTCCTTTCAGGTAGTTGTAGAGGGTGATAAGGTCTCCCCTCAGCCTCTTCTTCTCCAGGCTAAACAACCCCAGTTCCCTCAGCTGCTCCCCACAAGACTTGGGATCCAGACCCTTTACCAGCTTTGTTACATCTTCTCTGGGCACACTCCAATGCCTCAATGTCCTTCTTGTAGTGATAGACCCAAAACTCAACATACTTTAAATTCAGTTAAACAGATTAATTTAATAAAATAAAAATAACTATTTTTTTCCTATCAAGGCAATTTCTTAGGTTTCTACACATCCTACTCCTCCTCACTGCATACATTCATTAGCTTCCTTTCTCATTACTTTTCCATTGGTATAGAGAAAGTCTGAAGCACAAAGTTTTCTGGCTCCTGGCTTTGAAGGTACATTCTGGCACCTGTGATCTCCCAGGACAAAGAGAACTCCGAAACAAACTAATAAGCTAAAAACAGTCTTAAATGCTGTCTCAAGGTTAAAAAGTCATTAATTGATTGATTTAAAAATCTTTCTTTTCCTTTCCAGTTTATCCTTTGTGTGTCACCTACTTGGACAATGATCTGTAAGATATGGCCTCATCATCTGTGATTCTGTGATCTTCTGACACCAGATGTTTGTAAAATATTTGTGAGCAATGCTTCAAACACTTGAAAACTAAAGAACTTTTCCATCAAACAAAATCATTCATGTTTAAACACAAGATCTCTCTGTTAAGCAATAACCTCAAAGCTACTGAAGGCCAATATTTATGTAAAAGGTCTCTAGGATGCAACATATAAAAGGAACTACTACTATTTCTCTCCTGACTCAGGAATGAAGTAATTCCCTAGAAAAGCACCAGTAGCATTACATTACTGAAGATGTCATATTTAAGATGAAATTTTATTCATACTGCTGCATAGAGTCATCTGGTATCTGTAAAGAACGGGCTAAATGGAAAGTGAAAAGATGTAAAAAAAAAAATACATTAGTAATGGGTTTATCTGCTCATTCCTCCACACCCTTCTTCATCCTCTCCAAAATATGCTTATACAACCATCACTCATGTAAAACCCATGTCATATTAATGAACAATAATCAAAACTTTAAATGCTTGTAAAGTAGAGGCAAAAACATATGTGACCTGGTGCTGCATGGAAAACAGTGGCAGGGAAGAGATGCAACCAGAGATACAGGATTCAAATTCATGATCTCTCTGCACAAGCAAGGAGACCTTAAAACCCCCAACTTGCTAGCCACTCTATTCCAGGCTAAAGATACCAATTTCTAATCATAAACTGGAGAAATCGAAGTGGAGGAATATCCACAAATACTCACTTTTTGCAAGCCTTACAGTTAGGGATGGAAAACAGTGGCACTGTATCTCCAAATTTCTATTACTTCCTACTGCCTGGGAAAAACTGACACAAAATTTTATGCTGCAGCCATTTAGATACTCATAATAAATGCTAACACAACCAATCTTGAAAAATCAAAAGAAAACTGCTTGGCTATTTACAAGCCCAGCATGTGTGAGCACACAACAGAGGAATCAAGATGGGTTTCCTGCTGTTAAAAGGGGATGTCCCAGTTTTCATCAGTAAAACAACTCAAACGGCTGAACTCTGGAATTTGATATGTAAACTTAATAGGAAAAAACATACAAAAACAACCACTCTAATGCAGCTAAAAGGAGGGAATATTTAGCAAAAGAAAATAAGCATCAGGGCAATACTGAAAGAAATAAGTATTAGATTTTTCAAATTTGTGCAATAAAAAAATTTGCAGAGTACTTACACACACAAAGATACCAATAAAAGGTGGAAAAGTTTTGACTGTAGTGATTTTCAGCCGTGGCACTCTGCCTGCAGAGATGCTGAACAACATTCCAGCCAGCTCTGCCTTACAGCAGTTCAGCTACAGCAACACAGAGCTCTGCATGGGATAATCTGTCTGAGAAACACCAGCAATGTAAGCAAACCCTCTCTGCTACCTTAGCCCATACCCCTCTGCCTCCTCCAATTGCTGAAGTGTGCCACCTCCAACACTTGGCAAACTTGAAGCAAGCATTTTCTGATGTCAGGACCTGAAATAATCTTTTAGTAAGACAACATCCAGAAATTTCTCTCTCCTCAAAAACCAGGGAGAACAGTGGCAGAAGAGGGTAGATGTTTGCATCCCACCAGGACACGGAAGATGGGAAGGCAGTGAGTGTTGTGTTAAAAATCACTGTCTCTGATGGAAATAAGCTGCAGATTATTACACTTATCTTGAATTGCAAGCTTCCTTCAACTTTTCCTTAATATACGAAATCAGGAAGTGCCCCTTGACCCCACCACATTTAGTGAGACTATTTAGTTTTGTTACTGATGCTTCAAAAAGGTGCTATGAGTAAGAATGGACTGGTCCAGCTGCCTATTGTTTTTGCTACTACAGAATATCTACTGGGGGAAGAGGGTGGGATGAGAGGTAATGTGTGTGTTTGTACATGTATTTCTATGAAACATAGTAGGGCAATACTGTCAAAACAATTTATTTTAGGTTTGACAGTGTCATAATGAATTCCCAAGCAGGCCATGAAATGTAAGAATATTTTTAACTGGATAAAGCACACCAAGAAAGACTTGTAGGCTACAGGCCTGCCATTAGTTCTAACTACTAAAAGCAATAAATGCATGTATACAGGAATGTGTAAGTTCTTACGTTGCAGTACTTGACTACTGGAAGGATCTACAAAGATTTCCTAGGACAAAACTGTAGCTTGGGGAATAGAAGGGGATGTTAAAAACTACCTGAAAAGCACAGTTAGAAACAGATAAGAGGTCAAAGTTCCATTCCTACTTAGAAAGACTAAAGTTGTTGTTTATACTCCCATAATTGTTTGTCGTTATATGCGTGCCAGGTCTATGGGTAAGAAACATCAACTCTTCCATTTTAGATGAAGAATCTTTTTAATGTGACTTACTTTGAGAAGAGACACTCAGAAGAATTCCTAGGCTGAACAGAAAAATCTCCTTACCAATTAGGAGAACAAGTTAATAAGGCATATTACGTGCATATCTGCATCACAATTAAGGCAATTGTTTAGAATAGGACATACATATTAAATTACTACTGTGAAAATTCAAGGTAGCCTTCACTGCAGTAAAGCATAGCAGTACTTCACTGTTCAAATAAATAGGGAAATTCTTCTTTCATGGGTACAGAATCTTTATCTTCAAGAAAACCCATTACTTTGAAAGTGACAGAAGCAACTAACTCCACCTACACAATAAACATAAGGAGCACTGAGCTCAGTAGAAACTTTGTGAAAAGGCAGGCCTTAGAGCAGTCTGAACGCACTCATGCTTTCGCTTTTATGTCTTTAGCCAAAACTACTTACAGTCTTACAGTTAATGCACTTCTTTAGTCACTGCAGCATCGCACTGGGCCAGTAAATATTAGTATTCAACTGAGGTAAAGAAAGATGAATTTTGTTCTGTGCTGTATTCTAAGCTATTCAGGATTTAATAAATAACCAAAACCTATCCATCCAAAAATGTAACCCTATCCATACACTACAGTAAAACTACTTCCAAACTCCTCGGTATGTTTTTATTCATCCCTCCACTCCGCTCAGATGCACGCACACCAGTTCTTACTTCTAAGCAGCTTTTTCCTTAATCTTCAGTATGGCAAACTGAAGCCACGTAAGTCAGGAGGAAACAATTTTTACCCAGCCTGAAATGATGGCATTTCTGGTCAGTTCTAGGATTCTGGGAATCCTCAGAAGAAAGTAGGACTATCAAGTCTGAGAACGCCTACGCATCGACAAACAGGCTGGCAACCACCCTCAGATGTTTGTGGGAGGGATTCTGCCCAGCAGCTAGCAACACCGTATGCACTGGACAACAGGGAAATGGCCTATACCCAGATCCTCACCTGGTAACTCCGAGTAAGGCAAGAACAGAAGAGCTGTAAAAACAGACCAGTGTCTGTTTTTACAGGTGTACTGTCACCTTACAAACGTGAAAGTGGCAGAAAGAGTGAAGTGCTAGAAAAGAGAAGCAACATGCACTAGAATATCAGTATGAGTCAGTACACTCATCACACCACAGACTACAGCCAGTGATGGAGCTTCGCATCCCTCTACTTGCTCTCTGTTCATATGGAGAGCAGTGACATTCTGTCAGTTAGCCATTTCCACTTACTGTTTATACACACCTAGAAAAAAGTATTTGCAAAACACATTAGTTTACTTGCACAATGTAAGTAAAGGGATTTTCATTTCATGCTTACATTTTAAGTGAAATAATTTTTATTTTTCCTGATTTGGTTTGTTGATTATGCTCAAAGATAAGGATTTTCTCAAGCAGCACCTGGTTAGAACAGCACTCTCTTTTAAAAGTTCCAAGTCAGGACAGAACAGAACTCAAGTTTCTCTCTATTCTGCCTACCAATATTATTTTAAAAGAAGAACAAAGGGGATAGTATTTACTTCTATTTAATTTTCAGATAGAGTATGCCAGTCAAAGCAAGCAAATTTCTAAATCATGATTATCTAGCAGGAAATGATTACATTTCACAAGCTGGAGACGGAGGGGGGAGGGGGAGACACGACAACAGTCACACTACCTTACTGTGCCAGACGACAGGATTTTCCCTAGTCAGAGCTCTAGAATCATGTAATAAACCCTGATTATTTTCCAGCTCTGAACTCTTCATTTGCAATCACGCTGCTAATCTCAGCTACAGTACCCCAGACATATGACCACTTTTCCCAAACTTAACACAAAACATCTCTGTATTTGATTCAGTAACACAAAATACAAGAATCGAGAACAAACAATCAGGAAAAAAAAAGAGTCAACCTCCTCAACTTCTAGAGCTTGATTAGCTCAACCAACCACGTCTAACACCACCACTACCACAAAACACTCTGCCCTCAACTCAACCTTAAACTGCCTTACATTACTAGAGATCCAACAAACCTGCCTATTGGTATGGAGCATTCACTTTTACTCTATCAAGTTTAGACCTCAGTTCCTAATGGAAAATGATTTTTAAATATTGAGCAAAAATGTAGTAGCCAAAAATAACATCCTTAAGAAACATCCACTAAATGGTCTCAGTTCTTGTTACCTTTTCCTTCAGAAAAGTAAAGAGTTTTCCAATTTTCTGCCTTAATGTAAAATAGCAGAAAACAAAGGGAGAAACTGAAAAAGTAAGAAAAATAATTTTCAGTTTCATAAAATACACAAGTTCTCAGGTTTCTGTGGGTTGTTTTTTTTCCAGTTTGTAACTATCTAGGTCTAAGGCAACTAAGATTTTGTTTGTGTGTTTGCAATAAAAAAATTCTGCCTTGCAAAAAGGTAGTCTACAATAGTTTTGGCTTTTGTATACTGCAAAGTCTTCCCAAAGCACAGCAAGAATGTTTTCAGTCACCAGGTATGACTGTATATCCTTGTACAAATGGCAAATAGCTGGTTTTTTTCCTGGCAGAAAAACAAATTACTACTCTTAAGCCCTACCTTCCCCGTACATGGTTACATGCTAAAAATCTAACCCAGCCACATCACACCAACTCCCCTGAAAATGGCAAGCTACCAAGAACTTTTCTTCACAGCAGCAACTAAAATCCTAACGTGATTTGAGTAAGTCTCTGCAGTCCTTGTACACCCACATAAGCAGCTATAGCGTGCAATAAGAGGCGATTTATTTTGCGTGTAGATCAAAGACAATCTTTTGCAAAGCTACACTGCACTGTGTTAGCAAATATCTCTATCACGAAATATCCATATTATGTGGCACAGTATTTTCACGAGATGAAAACAAGCAGGTACATACTGATCTTCTGTTCCAAAAAACTTCACAAAGAAGCACTTCTTTCCACGAGGTTTCTTCAGATCTTTAGGTGGATTAACAATCTGAAGGTGATTAGAAGTGAAAGTTAAAAAGCATATAATGAAAATTTATACTCTCTGATTTTACCGTTGTGTTTTAACAGCTGTTGTAGATTTATTTTTTGTTGTAGTTTTTTTTTTTTTTAATCTGACTAGGAAAAGAACTTGACTGTTATAAGTCTTTCAATAAATATGTAACCCATCTATTTCCTTAGATCTGGGTATGCAGAGGCAGCAGAGTGAAAAAGCACCCAAACTCAACAGATACATCACTACCTTCTTAGCGAGGTTTTCTTTTCCCTATCCCCAACAGAAAAGCTAGCATTCTTTTTTAAAATTTATAAAGTCAAATGGCATTAATAAAAGTCTGTTCCACTTAGGTAACTTCTAAAATTTACATTTAAAGATTTGTCTTTACTCTCAGAGTAGACTGCTTATAAAGTTTAAAATATTAATAAAGAGAAAAGCTTTAATTCATTTTAGTTCAGTTACAAAGGTGACACCTTAAAGTCTGCAGGGAAGCCTGGACTTAACTTGATGCCATAACCAAACGTTACACTGACAACACTTTTCCCTGCCATATGCCATTATCTCAGCATGCATAGTCCTCATACCTACACCAAAACTAAAAACAAAAGTCTTAAAGAAAAGCAGAAATAATAAAAATGGCACATGGAATTTTAAAAATATTTTTGGCTTTTCATCAGAAAAATACTACAACCAAACCAAAAAAGAAAGTTTAACTACTCCCTAGCCTCAGAATTGTATTATCAAATATAGCGCTAAAACAGTATCTTGAAAACCCAGACTTTATTTCTATTATTTAACACAGTGTATTTAACCAATTTACTATGGGAGGAAAGAAACCTGTCTTGCAGAAAGTGAGAGGGATTAAATAACTAAATCTGGGAAACAGAATCAGTTCCAGAGCTGGATGAACAGCTCTCTTGCTTTTCACTCCATCTGAACTAACAGCTGTCAGTGACAGGCTGCACTTCCAGATCAAATAAAGCCCTAAACAAACTGGTTCATAGTTTAGATTTGTGGGCCATTTATTTAAAAACAAAACCAAAAAGCAAACAACAACAAACAAAACAAAAAACCCAAACCAATCAAACAAAAAAACACCAACCCCAAAAAATCCAACCAAACCAGCTGATTATTAATCTTTAACTAAAACACTTTCAGGCAAAGCTTTCTCTGTGCAGAAGGAAAAAAGCAAAAACAAACAAACAAGAACTAAGAAAGCAACAATTTAAACAAACAAAACCCTCAACCAAACCTCACCTTTCCTGGCCATGGGGGATACCGGCCCAGCTTTCCCCTAGAGAAAAAAAAGAAAGTATTAGGCATTAGAACCAGAGCAAAACCAACTATTCCATGTCTACTTTTTTGCATTAGGCCATATTTTTCATTTTCAGAGCTACAACTTACAGTCAAAACCTACCGTCAAAGGCCAGATGTGCAGCTGACACAAGAACTATATTCCTGACACCTACATGAAGCCTCTAAACAGTCTGCATGAACTCGCTGGACTATCAGAACTCAAGTGAACAGAACAGCAGCAGCACAGCTACTGCCTGAAGACACAGTGCTGCAGTGCTTATTACTCTCGTAGACCAGCTATTCCCTCACAAGGAACTGAAAAAAGTACTGATGCAGGCAACCAAACCAAAGTTCAGGTTGGTAACTGATATCCATCCGGTCAGAATGGTCTGGCAAACAGAGCAGCCACCAACTTCCAGCTCAGAGAGCCGAGATTCTCAGACACTCCCGCAGGAAAGCATTAATGGCAGGATCCCCTGAAAAGACGTTGCTCCATTATCTTGTCTTCAGATGTTCACCACCACAGTAAGACATGCTACACACATGAAAGAGCCATAAGAAAGGCAGAAAAGTTTATTTCCTACCCTTGCAAATGTTTCCATTAAGAAAGCTACATAAAACTACTTCTTCACAGAGGAGGAAGAGACATCAGTTTTCGCCCTCAGCATGATGGCTTTATCATTCTCTTACCCTTGTCACTTACTCAGGCTGCAGTGCTCTCACAAAATCTTATCAGTTGTTGTCTTGCAAGAAGCTGGCAAAAAACCTGTGGACCTCCCCAGCTCCTGAAAAAAAATCCTCAGCAAGTGGCACCGCAACCCCTTGCGAGATGGCAACGCTACACAGATGATTCGGCAGCGGTGGTCAGGCAGGAGCACTGCCAAGAGCTGTAATCATGCCCCATGTTTCATATTTGATGCTTCCATTCTTGTACTGAACAAGACATTCATCAAAGCCTTTCATATATTTCTGTCTTATTGTTACAGTTCTTCTGCGATGGCTCTAGGGATAGCTCCTGTCTAGGCTGTCATGTACAGAACTAAAGCAGGATAATCTACATTCCAACACTGAGAGCAGTGCACTCCCCAAATCCTCATTTGAAAAAAAATTGCTGAAAGGAACCAATCTTTACTTACTTTGCTATACAAATTAGACAACGTCACAGCACTGACAATTTTTCGGACGAGAAACTGCAGTTGTCACAGCCCGGAGCACGCGCTTCTTTTTATCTGGGATATAAATATAAATGCATGCACTTGCGTGTTGGGGATTAGCTATATCTTGCAAGCCCTAGCAGGACGCTCTAGCCTGTAGAGCCTATGAACTTAAAAATCACTGCTCACGGAGCTCGATGCCCTCAGTTCTCCTGATCAGGATATACAAAATCACAATGCTCTATTTAAGGGTAAAACTGGAGTGACAAGGGGAAATGGCTTCTGTCAGCTTCAACAGGGACATCCTGATCTACAAAAAAACCACGGTTTTTCCGGATTGTTGTGTCGCTTCATTAAAGCATTGTCAAAAAATTGTATCATTGCTCTCCCTAAACACATATTAACTTATTTATATGCCTTCTTCTCTCCCTTGGGAAGAGACCGTGTCTCTAGCCCAACCCCTCTATCCTGCTCTCCTCACCCCCATCCTTCTTATACAGGTTCTTTTCTGTGCTACCTCTTGTTAGCCTCCGGTGCCGGGCCGGCTAGAAGTCGAGCCCGCCTCCCCTC